TATCGCACAGAATTAAAAGATAACAATAACAAAAGGATGATAATCTCTGTTGATGACATTTCTGCATTTCTCTCAGGTAGCAAGAAACAATGGTGAGTAAATACTAAATAGAATCATTGATAGTACCGGACATGAAATATTGATACATTCATATACATTATTTATTGTTTCAGGAGGTTATTGAGAACACAAACTTGATGATATCATCATAGCAAACATGTTTTATTCCAAGATAGCTTTGCTTCTTCGGAATCTTTAAAATATTGTATGGAAGCTTGAACTTTCAGTATGAATTCAATAAAGGTAGGTACCTGAATCAAATCATTGATATAGTAGGTACTGGACATGAAATGTTAATAGTTTAATTATTTGTTTCAGATGAAGTTATTGACAACACAAGATTGATATGATGTCATCAGAGCAGAGATGTTTCATTCCAAGATATTTTGGCTTCTTCGAAATCTATGTGAGATTGCTTATGCATGTTTGCACTTTCAGTACCTATATCCAATAAAGGTAGGTACCTAAATCGAATCATTGATATAGTAGGGACTGGAACATGAAATATTAATAGGTACATTATTTGTTTCAGGAGGTTATTGATAACACAACATGATGATATCATCAGAGCAGAGATATTTTATTCCAAGATATTTTGGCTTCTTTGGAAATTATGAAAGATTGTACATATGCAGACTTGAACTTTCAGTAGATTCAATAATGGTTGGTACCTATAACTACATAAATCATATCATTGATAGTAAGTACTGGACATAAAATATTAATACATTGTTTGTTTCAGAAGGTTATGCAAAACACAAACCTGATGATATTTTCATTCCAAGATAGTTTTGCTTCTTCAGAATCTATTAAATATTGCATGAAGGCTTCAACTTCCAGTTGATTATTCAGCATCAGGAATGTCCAGAGTTCAGAAATCAAAAACAACATGGAGAAATATAACTATATCAATAGGCAAAAACTTCTAGTAGTGCTCAACAAGAAGCTGAAATACATTTCTTTGGAAAGGAAATTGAAATTTTTCAGAATAAGTTATAAATAATAGAATGTAAGTTTTTCATTTGGTTTTTCATTTGAACCTATTATAAATAGAAGGAAATTTTGCAAATATCATGAGATCCATATTATTTTGAAGAAATTATCATTTGCATAATACAAGGTGAGTCAATAGTGTGTTATCCTTATTGTATATTAGCCAAACCATCAGATAAATAGAGAAAATTCAAGTACAACAGTAATAGGGTTTCATGAGAACTTTCACAATAAATTGTTTCCATATATATCTGTAGGGTGTTCAAATTCCAAGATATATTGACTGATGATTGTTTTTTTCCAAATGGGACACCCTGTATACTATTGCATTTTTAGGTTCTCCCTGAAGAGCTGATTCCATCAATGTATCACACTTGGGGTCTAGCAGGAATGATTACAGAGATATAGGGTGTTCAAAAACAAGATTTTTCAATTTTAGGATTTTTTTTGTGGAAACTATTCAATATTGGTCAAAACGGCTCACAGATCCTTATAAACTTTCGATTTACTATCTACTGACATTCAATTGGAACAAATAGAGGGTGGGTTAACATTCAGAATACTGATCAGCTTATTGTATCTGTTCCAAATAAATATCAGTAGATAGCTGATCAAAAGGTTATGACAGGAACATGTGAGCTGTTTGACCATTAATGAATAGTTTCGACACACAAAATCCTACATTTAAAGAATCTCAATTGTCATTTGTCAACACCCTATATCTCTGTAATAATTCCCACTAGACACCAAGTGTGATGCATTGATGGAATCAACTCTTCAGGGAAAACTCAAAAATGCAATAATATACAAGGTGTTCCATTGAGAAAAACCAATCATCAACCGATATCTTGGAATTCGAACACCTTATAGATATGAAAACAACTTTAGGTGATTGTTCTTATGAAACCCTATATTACCTACTGTTGTACTTGCATTTTCATTTTATATATCTGATGGTTTGGCTAATATCGGAGGAGAACACACTATAGTGACTCATTCTGTATACGAATAATATTCTCCCATAAATCTTGAACCTCCTTGAAACATCATCAAAAACCGCCTCAAGTTGTTACCATGATGTCCTGAGGTTGTCTCAAAAGATTTTATAGGGATGTTCTGAGACGTTATTAGTATGTAGAGAATGGTAACAGGAGGACGTCTTGAGAATGTCCTCAGGCTCGCTCTCGACGTCCTGAGGACATGATTGTGAACGCCTCAGAAGGGCCTCAAAAGGAATTTGTGCTATCTGGGGAATATTACCAATTCATAATTATTGATAACTTATGAATCATTGAATATCTCATATTTCTGAAGGTCCCAATCGCAATTCAACATATGGCCACTGTTTTATGGTTTTGCCCCTACTTGAGAAATCGTATCTAGCCGTTTGAAAATTGCCGTGGCATCAATGATGATTTCAGCACCTTGACATCGACGAAAGAATTCTTAGAAAAATATGAAATTGAAAGGTATTTCAGTGATGATTCTATTCAAGGAATAAGAAACAATCTGTCCACTCGCCTATTGGAGATCTGACAACCTTGCTTTATGGGTGGAAACCAAAGATTACATGACCAATAATTAAACAGCATGGAGAATGACGTCACCATAGAGATATTTGAAATCCGACACTTTCAAGCAATCTTTGGTAGGAGTCCATATTGCTCAAAGGAACGGAAGGAAGGCAAGCTCGAAGTCATCTCCACCATCTTCAGCCAAATTGAATGTTTTACTTTCAAACAACGCAAAAACACCTCATTAACATTAAACCGCATATGAAGTGCTGCAAATATTACTTCAGGCCCGTATACTTGATACCACACAACGTTCTAGGGGCGTCCCTATTTGGTACAATTCACGTCCGAATGTCTCGAACCAAGAATCAGTGTCCTTGGGACGTCCCATCCCGTACATCTCATAGAATGTCCGAGCAAGGACGTTCACGGAATGTCCCAGCTGGTTCATCATTTCAAATGTCCTAGAAATAGCATACCTCAGACGTCCCACGTGATACATATTGTAGAATGTCCATGCAAGGACGTCCTTGGCATGTCCCTGATGGGATATGATTTTGAACGTTCCTTTAGGGACATCCATCGGATGTCCCAAGTAGTACACATTCTGGCATGATTTTAGATCTCATATAATGTCTCTTCTAGACAACCATGGAATGTCCCTGATTTTACAATCCTTCAAATAACTCTGCACAGATGCCAGATTTCTAGGATCGTATAGCAATCGAAATGTCCCTTAGGGACATCCTTCGCATATCCCTTAGGGATATTCGCCGGATGTCCCAATTGGTACATGAACTGTACTCTTCCAATGTCCTAGAAATAACGTCCTATGGAGGTCCCAGTCAGTACTTTCAATATGTTGTCCCTGCGAGGACGTTAACTTACACCTCGCCGACGAATGATTGCTCGTAGGCTATAAGTACTCCTCGTCAATGTCCTTCACCTGAGTCCATTGGACATCCTCGGGAAATTTTTTTGGGATCTTCCACGGACCATCAACTCAACTAGATGTCCTAATCAGTTATGCAAGTTCTGGTCCTAAAGGGACCCAGAAAAATTCAAATTCGAAAATAATTCGTACGTCCCTGGGATATCCTATGAACATCCAATTGATATCCCTCAGCGTTGCTGATAGGTTGTCCTATGGATGTCCTTAGGATGTCCTCTGAAGTGTTTGATGAGGAATACTGTAGGATTCAGGTATTCGATAGTTGTCCCAGCGACATCCCTCAAGGACGTCCCTAGTTGGTCCTCAAGTGGGACATTTGTGCGTCCCACAGACGTCCAATGGACGTCGACGGTACCAAATTCGCACGTCCTATGGACGTCCTGAATGTACTGATAGGACGTCCTGAGGATATCCATGGGACATAAGCCCTAACAACACGGGATCTTGCTGGTACATCCCGCTGAGGTCCTACAAATGTCCCAATGTTTCAGACTTAGGTACGATATCCCAGAAATGTTTCTCTTGGGACATCCATCAGATGTTTACATTGGATGTTCCAGAAACATCCCATTCGATCTTTTTTTACAAACAATATCATGGTTCCATATTTGCTAATGATGATTGACATGATTGAACAGTTCAAACAATTGTGACATTTGAAACATTGAAAAGTTGATAAAAAATGGAAATCAAAACTGTATTCGTAGATATATACTTATAATTTCATCGATAACAAATTGAAATAATTATACTAAATATTCCTCAATAAGATTACCAAAGTACCTGCTTAACATCATGAATGAACGACAAAATCAAAATATATCTCTTCAGCATATTTATTGCTGAATTCATTTCTTATACCTGCCGATAGATGGCGGTACAACTACGTTGCTAAGAGTTACTAACAGCCGTCGGCCCAACGCAAACAAATATGAGCCTCAAACAACTGTTATCATCTTCCATTAGTTATTGGACCGTACCGACCCTATATTTTCGGATTCGGATCGTTACTTGATATCTGGAAATAGGTCGGCCATTTTCAGGATTTCAGATTGAAAATAATTCATACCGTGTCATCCATTACTGTCATCAAACAAAAAACATCCTATATAAGAGTTTCTTCAAGTACCCTGAATGTCTCTGGTACATCCCGTATCATCCCACAAACATTCTGATGGGATGTTTATAAGACATCGCAAATGTTTACACGGGTGTTGCCAGCAACATCCCAAGAATGCGAGCAAGAATGTCTCAAGGAAAATAGGGATTTTTCAGAGATGTTCCTATCTTCCTATCATCCCATATGGATGTTTCTACGACGTCTTACAGATGTTATTGTGTTATTAGGGAGTGTGTTATTAGGGTATCGATACAGTGGAGTAACTGAAATCCAATTGTTATTCACTACCAGTCCAGTAGCCCAATGTGAAGCGTACCAAACTGAACAAGAATATTTCATGTTGGTTTATCTTCATTTGCAGAATCAAGATAACTCTTCTGTTCCATCGAGCGTCAGAATCATTGACTGGCAGTTATCCAAACTTGCTTCCCCAGCAATGGACTTGTCCTACTTCTTCCTGGTACACAGTCCCAAAGAGGTTCTCTACGACTACGAAAAATACCTGAAACTCTACCACGAAACCCTCAGCAAGAACCTACGGGAGTTTTCCTGCGATCCTGAGAAGGTGTTTCCCTACAGTGTCCTCTTGGAACATTGGAAGAAGAGGGCATGCCTGGGTGTCTATACGGCCTTCTCTATTGTGAAGATAATGCTATGCGACTCCGAAGATGCTCCTGATTTAGATGAGGTCGTTGAGGGTGGCAAGGATTTGATGGAAATCTTCAACTTCTCTCCGAAAGATGACGGAGTTTATAGGACGAGAATTCGAGATCTTGTGGAGTTCAGTATCAAAACAGGGTTGTTGTAAAAGTATTATTTGAATCGGAGCTAGTAAAATTGAATGAACAGTATGATTTGTTGTAATTATATTTAGTAAGTATTCACTTCTCTCTTACATTGAATGCAGTGTAGACTACATACTGTTTTACGACTAATCAAAGTGATTTTTACACCTCGACATGTGTTTCGCTAACTATGTTAGCATCTTCAGGAGAATATTGAAACTGAATGCTCTATCCTAGTGGGCTTCTTTTATACTAACTTTATGTCCATCCAACCGTGAATAGACAATAACCGACAAGTTTATGTAAGTTATGATTGAGTTCACAGGTTATATTACATATACAGAGGGATCAATGGGATTGGTCCATTATCCTCATTCATTACTCTATTACTATTCTTAAATATGTCTATGCTTTAATATGCATCTGATTTTCAAACACTATCAACTTGCTTAACTGATTTGAGGTTATTAATATGTGTGTTATGATTGTGATTGAACATGTGTTTGGCTACATACGATTTATCTAACCTACCATATTCCAAATATGCTAAGTGTTCTTTGAATCTCGTTTTTATGGGACGCTTGGTTTGGCCTATATTTGTTTTGTGGAAAACCCTGTATATATAAAGTATTTTCACTTCTTCATCTTCACTTCTCAGACCCCAGAAAAACAATGTTTTTGTGTTGGCTTCTACAGATATCGTGTTAGCCATGAATGAGGATTAATTTGACCCTTGTTGCATCATCATCGAATATACATTCTCAAACTGATTGAGTGATCAGCAATTGATCAGAAGGGAATGTTTTTCTGGGGCCAGAACAGTGCAGATAATGAAGTGACTATAGAAGATATAATACTCTGTATAAACCGATATATTATGTCGCCAATGTTGCCACGTTTTCAATTTTTCCCGAATTATTATCAACTTCCTTATTTCGATATAATTTCATATAATTTGATAGATGAATTTTCAACGAGTACACTGATATACTAGTTTATAGTTCCATTTACAATATTCAAGAATAATTATGAGAAAACTATTGAGATATTGATGATGATTGGATTCGGAGAAAAAAGAAGAAATCACAAAGAAGTTTCAGATCTCTTCAATACGAGTCACCCAGATTGAGACCCTATATTACGAAGTACAGCATCAGTATCCAAAACATTGAAACAATTTGAACATACTGGGAATGTGAAGAATGTTAGAAAAACAGGACGTACAAAAACAGCAACTACGCTTGAAGAAGCATTGAGCTCAGATCATGGAATGAGTCAAATGTCAGTGATACGAATTTTGAGAAAGGAGAACATAGCCGTATGAAGTATATTTTATTCACGAACTGATTGACGGCGATGGTGAATAAAGAAATAAGTACATTCTGTGAAACGTTGATCGCAAGAGATATCAATTTCATTAGGAATATGTTGTTTTCCGATGAAGCCACTTTCTGTCTATCTGGATCGATGAATAGGCAAAACTGTCGATACTGTGCTTTCGATTATTCTCATTGGGCTCAAGATAGCCATACTCAAATTCCTAACAAATTGTATATTTGTGCTGGTATTGTTGACAATAAAATCATTGGAACATTGAAGGAACGTTAAGTAGCGACAGATACCTCATAATTTCACGGAATGTGAGCAGTAGCAGCAGAGGTGCCGACTGAGGGAGGTAAGCAAGAGGTTATTTTGGCCTCGGCTCACTTCCCTGGTGATGACACGGAACAACCGCCTCCTGCAGAAGTCGCAAGACTCATCAATTACTGCCGCAGAAGAAACAAACCTTTCATCATCGGTTGTGACGCCAATGCGCACCACACCATTTGGGGAAGTACCAACATCAACAAAAGAGGTGAGTTCCTACTCGAATATCTTTCGTCCAACAACATAGATATAATCAATAAAGGAAATAAAGCAACCTTTATAAACAGTATTAGGCAAGAGGTCTTGGACTTGACCTTGGCCAGTCCGTCTATAAACCATAAAATTCTCAACTGGCACGTCTCCGATGAACCCTCACTGTCGGATCATAATCACATTAGATTCGATATAGAGGCAAAAGGGACGATTACCACAGAATATAGGAATCCGAAACTGACCGATTGGAACACATACCGTGAATGCCTAAAGTCGGAAGTTGAGGACCTAAACACTAGCATTGAAACAATCCAGGATCTGGAGCAGGTTTCGACGCAACTCCAAAATCTCATAATGAAATCTTATGAGCAAAGCTGTCCTGTGAAACAAAAAGTATCGAACCGAATACACCTTGGTGGAACAACTGGCTCAGTGCACTCAGAGCTGAAGCCAGACGACTCTTCAATAGGTCAAAACGTACAGGCAACTGGGACGAACACAAGAAGGCCTTGACAGAGTACAACAAAGAATTGAGGAAATCTAAGAGGTTAACGTGAAGGAGGTTCTGTGAAGGGATCTTTGCCATGATCATCTAATTCTATGGAAGTATCGATGTGAATAAGGATCAATCAACATTCGCACATAATGTCTTGTTGTATACTGACATATAATTAAATCTTCTGTAGGGTAAAAGGTAGAGATGCTCTACACGGTAATCTGAAAGTCGTGGGTTCGATCCCCGGTAGGAGAATATTTTTCAATTTTTGTAGTCAGAATAATATTTTTTCACCCTATCTAGGTCTCTATTCTGACTATCTGAGTGGAAAAAAGGTGGAACTACGTTGCTTAAGGTATTAATGATGGTTCCGTTCAGACCTGGGGACCTTCAGTTGTGTAACATCGTATGTCCCGAAAACATCCTGAAAACGCACACTGTATGGGGACGTTTCCAATGTCCGAGGTGTACGGCTTGAGGACGTTTTCGAGACGGTTTTGTGCTATCTGGATCTGCATGCGATGTAAAGCAATATCTTGATTCAGAAACCGATGGATGGGACGACGTGGAATCATCGAATGGCCAGCGCGTTCTTCGGATCTCACACCATTAGATTTCTTCTAATGGAAACATGTCAAAAATATTGTTTTCAAAAAAAGACCAGACAGTATTGAGAATTGGGAAATTGTTATCAACAGAGTGATAGAGGATATACCTGCACGAGAACATATCAGAAACAGTGTCAACAGACAACAATCTGAACATCAACTCAAATGAGTAGTCTCTTTTCTTGTTCTTGTTATGTTTTATTCATCATTGAGGGGTACTCTGACCGATTTTTCAGATATGTTTGAAAATATTGTGAAAAAAAACATCAAGAAATATATCAGTGAACTCGTTGAAAAATTATCTATCAAATAATATTTGAATATTTAGGGTGTTTTATTCGAAATAAGGAAGTCGACAATAATTCCGGAAAAACTGATAACGTGGCAACATTGGCGATATAATTCGTCGAACCGCCACATTCATTTCACACTCATGTGATCACAAAAAATAACATCAGATTTCGAGAGAGGTACGAAGAACAGGGTGTTTTATTTAAAAAAATCAATTTGTGGTTTATCACGCTTTTAGTTGTCACCGTGTGAAACTTCTGATGAAGGATGTGAAAAGGCCTTATTGCTGCATCTTCAGCATATCGTTCATTTTTTTCGATGGAAAATAACGTGAATATGATGGTGGATCCTAAGATAATATTTTGGAAGATTCATTTTTGCACTGCTAATTTACTTGCCAAATTACATCAGAGGATAACAGCAAACATGTTCTATTCAAAATAATTTAAATATTCCGGTGCTGCACACGTGCTGCATCGAACATTAAAAACAGAAATATCTCAAAATCGGCTTACTTAGCGGAGAAATATTCAGGAAATTATTCACTCAACGGTAGAAGTGAGAAACTAGAATAGTGCATTGGTAAACGCCCTCTATTGGCTACAGTGAAAAGTTACCCGTATTCGTGTTTCGCATCCTGAAAACCGCTTGAAATCAACTTTCGAAGTGATGCGTTTGAAAAAGTGCCCACATTATGAGAAAATCGAATCATTTTGACCTCAGGAATATGTGCTGAGATTTTGTACAGGCCTCTCAGTGACACCGTGTAAATAAAAAACATTGTCATTGTGTCAAATAGGCAAAATACATATGATTGCTTGAAAAATAAGGTGATTAGTTCGAGTTACCTGATTTTTCGGATGAAATATTATGATACGTTCGAAACTTGAATTGCTCATTGAGAATTAATAAGGAATTTCATAATGTAACTAATTCAGTATAACTTATAAAAAAATATATCGAAAGTGATTTGTTGTGAACAGGTCACATTTGTAATGGATTTGTAGGAAAAAAATCATTTCGCAGTATTTTCAATTTAAAAACTGTTAACAAACTGGAAGAAGGTAATTGAAAAATTCCATATGACTATAAGAACAGTTTTAGGCTCACTGTAGAAATTTTGTTGTTAGCAACATCACATAGTCTTTTATGTATTGCTCACCTTTGTATCATGTAGGTGAAGTTGAAAATGCAATTGAACGTGGTGAGAAGCAGATCGGCAGTGCTGAGATTGACAAGGAAGTAATTGGTGACGGTTCGCATCCTTCGATGAGCTGAAACAAGGAGAATAGAAGAATATCAAGATGAAGTCATTAGAAATCAACTAATTCTATAATTGAGAATTCAATAGCCTCAAGAATATGTCCTATTTCCTTCATCCTGATAACTTCAAAATATTAAGAATATATATTGCACTTTCCCTGGTCACTCGAAATCAGGGCTTTCCATCATCTTCATATTATTATTCGTATCTTCTCGGTCGAGTAACCGACAAAAATTATCACCCACTTCTATGTATAGATGGCTTGCGGACATTTTCGTGTACAAGGAAAGACAATGTCAGAGAACGAAAGAGGAAAAATGAAGACTGTATAGTACCATCCTGCCAGCGATGTTTCATGTAGAGCATGATTTCGAGTGACTCTGGGATTTCGAGGGATTCTGCAGCCTGTTGTGTGATGAGAACTCGATTTTCCTGCCGTTAGTTTAATTGATAGAACGTTGGGCGTGCAGCCTAGAGGTTGTGAGTTCGACTCTCACGCGAAGC